TGGTGTGGTGTGGTGTGGTGTGGTGTGGTGTGGTGTGGTGTGGTGTGGTGTGGTTTGAGCCCTGGCTAACCAGACTGGCCTCGTGCTCGTGATGATCTTCCTGCTTCTGCCTCCCAAATGCTGAGAGTATAGGTGTATACCACTGTGTCTCCCCTCCTTTCTTCTTTTCTTTCTATTCGTTGCTTTTAACATCCTTGTTTGAGATGCTTTCCAGAAGACGCACACCATCTCTGTAGGCAGTTTTGGCTGGTTTGTTGTTGTTGTTGTTTGTTTTTTTTTGACATTTCCTGACTTTCAGCCAACAGGAAAGACAAACTAGATGCCTAAGCAGCTTTTTTTAACAGGATATGTAACCATTCACTCAGTAACAGCTATTTAGTAGGAGGGAGGGTTGACAATGGCGGAGAGTCCTTTCCTACACCCGTTTCACACACACACACACACACACACACACACACACACACACCACTTGGTGGTGCAGAAATACTGCCCACCCCTGAAATCCCAGCACTCGGAAAGCTGAAGCAGAAGGATAACCTCAGCCTGGGCTACACAGGGAGACCCTGCCCCACAACAAGCCAAGCAAGCTGCCTGGCTCTGGTTTGGGGCTGTTTGGAGTGAAGCTGCCTCTCTATAATCACTTCCCCGGGTGACTGCCCAGGACCACTGCGGGAGCATTAGGTAGTTGTGAACTTAATGGTCTCAGAAACTGCTGGGCAGGCGTGGTGGCACACACTTGTGATCCCAGCAGTTCAGAGGCTGAGGCAGGAGGATTGCTGGGAGTCGAAGGCCAGCCTGGATTTCGTAATAAGATATTATCTTAAAAACAAAACAAATTAAGCTTTCCCTAATTCTTTGTCTTCTTTGGTGGGTGGGTATTGATCTAGCAACGTGGCCTAGACTAGAGTAGAACTCACTATGTAGCCTCAGGTAGCCTTGAAGTGGAGGCAATCCTCTGGACTCTGCCCCAAGCGCTGGTTTCCCAGGTGTGAGCCTTCACGACCAGCTACAGTAATTTTCCCCGTGTAGTTGCAGTGTTACATGAGAGCCGTTTATATTATAAACACACCTTGCTGAGCATCTGAAATACAAATTTAACTGGATGCCCTGCTCTTTCTCTTTTATCTTTAAGGCAGGGCCTCCCTATGTAGCCCAGGCTAGCCTCAAGCTCGTGTTCTTCCTTGCCTCAGCCTCCCCAAAACTGAGGTTACAGGGCTATACCACCCCACCCGGCCACATCCAGTGATTCTGAACAGGCACTAAAAGGCAGAGAAAGGGACAGGAACTGGCCAGCGCCTCATCTCCTAGAACTCAACAGCACCACAGCCCCTTTACACAGTGGATGTACCGGTATTTGTGCATGCTGGGACCTCGCCTATCACGCTTTGCTTTTGGGAAGTATTACCTCTTGTCCAGATCCGCTGCTGGGGCCTTGTGAGCTATAGATGAGAAGCCTGCAGCTGGGTGTGGCTAGCAAGCCTCCTGTTCTCCTGAGCTCCTGCAGCTGCAGAGCTCTGGCTGTTTATTCACTGACTCCTCACTGGTTACCAGAGATCACAGCCAGGCCAAGCCCAGGGATGAGGGAAAGGCAGCAGCCCCAGTGCCGCTACCCCCGCCCCCGAAAGTGCAGGGGAGAGCAAGATGTGTAACCTTGTCACAGCCTCCTGTCCTAGGCGCTACCTGAGTGCCAGGCTGCCCCACACAGAGATCCAGGGCCCAGAAAGGGTGCCACCTCAGGCAAGGTGCCTCTCCCCTGTGCACTGTGTTGAACCTCTGGAGGAAGGCCAGAGGGTGAATTTCACAACCTACTCTGCAGCCTTGGCAACTGAAGCCTGCCGGGGTACAAAGGGGAATGACAAGGTGTGGGCAGAAGCTGCCTGGGGCCTCCAAACGGGAATAGAAGGGATGGGCTTCAGGGCCGGGCCTGTACCAGAGCCTCCCAGGGCACTGGGGATGTGGACTTCAGGTGAGGTGCGGAGGAAGAAAGGAGAGAACAGGCAGAGCCCAGGAGGTAGGCCCCGGGACATAGATGCACAAGGCCCAGATCAAAGGGGCCCAGGGCTGAAGGGACCAGATGATCACCGTGATTGCGCTGGACAGGACAGTTCAGCGTGTTCCCAGAGGCAAAGAAACCAGTATATAGGAAGTACTGTGTGTGCATGTATGTGCGTGTGTGGTGTTTGTGAGCATGTGTGAGTTTATCTGTGTACGTGTGTCTGTCTTTCTATGCATGTGTGTGTGTATATATATATATATATTCATACATATGTCTGTCTCTGTGGGTCTTCTGTGTGCATGTATACAGGTATATGAGCGTGTATATGCACACGTGTATACATGCATGTGCTTGTGTGCGCACGTGCATGTATGTGTACATATTGGTGGGTGAGTGTGTGTGTGTGTGTGTTTGTGTGCGCACATGCCTGTATATTTGACTCTACCCCACCCTTAGAACAGTTTGTACTCACACTAAGTATATCCCCGGGCCCTGGAACATACCAAGCAGCAATTAAAGTTGGGTGTGTTTTGGGTGTATCCCAGTGGTAGTAAAGGCTGCTTAGCATGTATGACGCCCGAGTTTCCTCCCCAACACCCTACAAAGCTTTAGCCGATAGTTCAATAGGTTTAGGAAGCATTTTGTCCCGGCAAGTTCTCAGCCCATATCTGCACATTTCCCTTCATCTCCACTGGGAGTGAAGTTTTGGTTGTTGTTATTTTGTTTTGTTTTGCTTTGCTTCTCCTGATTTGTAGAGAGAGGAAGGAGCTAAGGCCCGGGGCCCAGCATGAGCAGTGGTGAGTAATCTAGCAGGGGTTCAGGCCCAGGGAGTCAGCTGAGCTGCAGCTGTACTGACTTCCTTTGCTCATCTCCCACCGTGCCTCCCAGGCTCCACTTTGCAATGGGGAGGAGTTTGAAGCAATTAGCTTAGTTGTGGTAGGTAGAGCCAGGGCCCGTGAGCAGCTCTCCTCATCCCAGGAAACGGATCTGTCGCTGCCCCACCCCCATCTTTCTTCGTACCTTGCAGGGATCCGGACTTCCTGCCCTCTCACCCACCTCAGGACAGCCCCCTTGTGGCTTGAAGGCCTGAGTAGGCGTGGCAGCCAGTCAGCTGCTGTTGAGGGGTGGCAGTGCTGTCACCCGTGACTTAAAGCTTATGCCCTGGTGAACCAGAGGTCTCTCCCTGGCTGAGTGCTGATCTAATGGACAAAAAGTTAAAGGTGACCTCCTGATTATAAATGACTCCCCCAGCAGGCTTGTAGTAGCCCAGTCAATAGCTTTAGACTAACAAATGTCACTAATGCCTTGGGTCTTGAGTGGGAGGAGAGAGGGCTGATGGGGCTTTTGCTCTGGCAGGGGGGGGGGGGTCCCCAGAGGAGCACAGCTCCAATGGCCAACCTAGTCCTGCAGCTGAAGCCTGTACAGGAGGCGAGGGTGTGGTGTCCATGGCCTCCTGGCAGCTTGCCTAGGGTTAGCCCCAGACCTGCCTGACAATTAGCATTTCCTGAGAAACCTGCAGGGCAAAAATGAGGGCATGGCTCTGAGCCAGAGAACAGAGATAAAAACCTCGAGCAAACAGGCCTATAGCAAAAGATTCTGTATTGCTGTATTCTGTATTCCCTTTGACCCAGGAAATGAAACAAGAAAAGGGAAAGAATGGAGGAAGCTGAGCCGGCGCAATTAAGAGAAGATTACAACTCCTCAGAGCACAGGAAATCCACTTCAGTTTGCCTGGCTCTGTTCCTCTGAGGCTCAGTGACCCTGGAGTGTCCCTCCTCTGTCTGTGCTTAAGAGTATACTGTGATCCATTGGTGATACCTGCCTCAGGTACCGCATTAGAAAGCCTGGCCTGTGTGCTCACCATTCCTACTCTTTGAAGATGCTTTGAAGTCTAGAGCAAATTTTTTACTAACCCTAGAAGGACCATCTTTTCAGAAACTTTGGAGTTCCGTTTGTATTATAAAGACAAGTTCTCCCGTCATCGCCCTGACCGATGTGGGACTTACTATGTAGATCAGACTGTGTTCTGCCTACAGACAGCCCTTCTGCCCTTGCCTCCCAAGTGCTGGGATTGCAGAAATAAACGCCTTTTTTTTTTAATTGCCAAAATTATGGAAATTTGATTTAAAAATAATAAAGATAGTGTGGTCATGCCTATAACCCTAGCACTTGCAGAGGTGAGGATTAAAAGTATAACACTGGCCTTGGCTACATAATGGGTTGAAGGCCAGCCTGGGCTACAAGAGATCCTATCTCAAATAAAACAAATAAAAAAAAAAGAAAGAAAATGATGATGTAAAAAGAAGCCTGTGTTCCACTATCTTCGTGCAACTATAGCTGTTAGTACATTCCTTCTGGTTTTGTTCGTTTATGTTTTCCCCTCAGCCTTGAGATGCAGATTATTTGTCATGGTTATTGCTGAGCATTTACTTCAGCCATCCCCATGACTCTCAGTCCAGCCTGTGAAACACCCTCACATCCTCCCCAGTACCAAGGAGGACAGGGGGGTTCAGAAAAGTGACCCCCCCCAGTATCACACAGGGGGTGTGGGAAGGTGCACACCTTCCTGTTTACTCAGTGATGACTGACTGACTGACTGAGGAGCTACCGTCCATCCTACCAGCCTCCTGTGACACTGTGACAGCCTCCTGATGCTGTGACACTGTTTTACAGACAGGAAAGTTGGACCCTCACTACCCCAAGGTCTGCGGGCACAGAGGGAACGTCTTGGACATCAAGTGGAACCCTTTTGATGACTTTGAGATTGCCTCCTGTTCAGAAGATGCCACGGTGAGTGCCAGGGGAAGGCAGATGCCCGAGCCTGCCATTGGTCCAGTACCAGCTTTGTCTCGATAGCGGCTAGGCTGCAGTGGCCTCACAAGAAGTGAGAGCTGGAGGAGAAATTGTGGGTGTGTGGGACTTGGGCCCTTGGCACCTCTTTATGGGCCTCAGTTTGCCGTCCCATAAAATGGGTCTGGTATCTTCTGCCTATCTCGTGAAGACCCAGTGAGGCTCATGTTCTTACCACAACTAATGTACAGGCTCCGCCCTCAGGGGTTTGGACATGCTGTAAGGGGACCAGAAAATATCAGGCCATTCCATGTCACAGTGGATGTATGATGGACAAGGGAGGAGCTTCTGTGAACAGAGACCCAAAACCACCCCAAGAGGCCAAGCCCACCAACTCTGTGTTACTGAGGGTGATTTCAAACTCCTAGACTCAAGCAATCCTCCTGCCGCAGCCCCCTGAGAAGCTGGGAGCAAAGTGGTCTAATGCACCCAACCCCCAAGTGAGTTTCTGAGCTCAGATTTCATTCCAGGAGCACAAACCTTATCCCCACAATGTTCAGCATTATTTATTTTCCCTCTGGCACCCACTTCAAAGATACAGTGGCTGGGATTTAAAACAAAAGGCCCAGTCATTAACAAATAATTAAAGGAGGGATAGTCCTAAGAGATGGATCAGCAGGTAAAGGGGCTTCCTGCCAGGCCTGACTACCTGAATTCCACCTCAGGGACCCACGTGGTGGAAAGAGAGAACTGAGTTCTGCACATTGCCCTTAGACTTCCAAATATACAAGTGGCAAGTGTGTGCCCTCAAACACACTAAATAAAGTCTAATCGGGTGTGGATGAAAGCCACAGTCAGCATTTCTTGTCACCCACTGTATTCTGTCACACTGACCCCTTAACTCAGCCTTCCCAGCACCCTACCGATTAGGATGCTTCATAGACAGGCTGAGGATCAGAAAGGAACAGCGACTTGCCCAACCTTACACAGCACAGGCAGCAGAGCTGGCCTCAGACTGAGCTTAGAGCCTATGCTCCGCCCCCTGGCCTATGCTGCCACCTCCCTCGAGAAAGGACCACATAGCAGATGTGAGGGATGACTAGAAATGTCCTAGATGCAGGATACAGCCACTGAATTCCTGATTTAGCTTAGAGCTGTTTAGTCAAAAAGGGAGAGGGAATTCATTATGGAAGGAAGCAGACTGGGAAGCAGGAAAGAAAGGCAGAGAACCCTAAGAAGGCTGGGTGTAGGGGCACACACCTGTAATCCCAGGTCTTAGAAAGCTAAGGCAGGAAGATCTCAGGTTCAAGGCCAGCCTGAGTTGTAGAGCAAGACTTTTTCTCAAAGCAGAAAGCTCCACGTAGGAGATTGCTGAGAGACCGAGAGGGAAGGTCAGGCCTGACAACTCGGCCAGCCGGCTTCTGCAGGGATGGGGTAGAATGGCTGCCCTCCTGACACCTGCCCTTTCAGGCCTGCTCTGAAGATCCTTCCATTCTGCTGGGTTCTCAGGCTCCAAGTCAATGTGCAGATCATCTCCCAGAGATACACAGGCTTCCCACGAAGCTTTGCTTACAGCACAGGGACATTTATTTCCAGGTTTTTGGCTTTAAGATCAAGCCATGAACTCTACTTGCTGTGTCTGCAGGACACAAAGAGCTGAGCCTGAGGTGGGGCTGGGGGGATGAAAATATTGGGGGAGGGCAGACATGGGGTGTTTTGTTGTTTTAATTTGGGGGGAAGTTGTTTGTTTTGAGACAGGGTCTCATGGTGTATCCTAGGCTGACCTTGAACTTACAGTCCTCCCACTGCAGACTCCTAGTGCTGGGATCACAGGGGTGCACCACCACACCCTACCAAGTCTTCCTGAAAGGCTTCTGGGTGCTCTGGGGGAGGGGAAGGGGGAGGAAGAGGATGATTGGACCTGGATAGCAGCAGCCCAGTCCACATAAACACGTCCTTGCAGAGTGCTCCCTGCTCCTCTTCCTCATGACAGGGTAGCTGCCACCTCCTTCAGGACACACCTCCCCCTCCAAAAGGCCCAGCGCCTGTCTCCCTCCAGCCCCACCCCAGGCTTAGCTCTTTGTGTCCTGCAGACAGAGCAAATAGAGTTCATGGTCTGATCTTAAAGCCAAAACCAGGAAATAAATGTCCCTGCGCTGCAAGCAGAGCCTCATGGGAAGCCTGTGTATCTCTGGGAGATGATCTGCACGCTGACTTGGAGCCTGAAAACCGAGCAGAACGGAAGGAGCATGTGCACAGCACTTCCTGGGCTCCATGGGCCCAGGCAGCTGTCCCTGTGGTTCCCCATCGTAGATTTCCATGACGGAGACCTTACTCTTTGCCATGGCAGCTACTTCCATCTTCAGTCCACCCTAGCTGCTCACCTCAGGTCATGGGGTTGGTCAAAGCCCGTGGGGCAGGTTTGAGAGTGAGGCCTGCCTTCCAGTCAAGATCAGCCCTGCTTGGTTGAGGACTCTAGGGAAGCCCCAGCTTACCCTCGGCTGTGTGGGAGTGGCCATGGAGGTCAACAGGGTTCTTCCGCCAGGCACTACCAGATCTACGGCTGAGGACAGCCGCAACCCCACCTCGTCCCCAGCTCACACTCCTCCCTGTGTCTCCCCTCCAGATTAAGATCTGGAACCTCCCCAAGCAATTGTTGGCAAGGAATCTCACCACCTACAGGAAGGAGCTGGTGGGTCACTCGCGCAGGGTGGGGCTGGTGGAGTGGCACCCCACAGCCGCCAACATCCTCTTCAGCGCTGGCTACGACTACAAGGTGAGTCTGACGCTCCTGGACAGAGAAAACCTCACAGCACCAGTTCTCTAGACGCTTCTCTGGCCGCTTTAGAAGCTAGGAAGGCTCAGGCAAGGTGTAGTCAGCTTGCTGCTTCCACAGGCCTGGGGACATGCCTCTCCACCCCTGTCACCCTGGCCTCTGCCACTGCCTTCTCCTGTGTCCCTGGATGTCCCTGCCTCCTCTTACCCACCGTTAGATTGAGAACTCTCCCTCATTTGTTGTGGCCTCAGGTCAACTAACTACATCTGTTAAGACCTTGTTAAATAAATCCCATTTGAGGTTCTAGGTGGACAGGACTAGGGCTTTCTTCAATCCACTGCAGCCAGCCTCAGGGGCCAGGGCTGGGCCCATGGAACACTACTGCCCAGAGGCCATGGGCAGTCCCACCCAGCTCTGAAGACTAGGGTCCTGTTGCAGCTCATCTCTGGTTTGCATGAGAATGTCCCATGATTCTCCTTGTATCTTAGTTTCTTGAGTCCCAGTCTGCAGACTATAGCGTGTGGAACCATTGCAATGGTTATCCAACTCTTCTCTGCTATTGGGATTCACAGAGGCACCTCAGGAGCCTCTCACCAGAGACACCTCAGGAGCCTCTCAGATCCAAAAGAGGTAGAAGCTGTTGGAAGGTCCTGGTCAGAAATGCTTGTTTATCTGTTGTTGTGGAAGATGTGCGTGTGTGGCTATGTCTCCAGGAGTGCTGCTCACACCTAGGCTGTGGCTACAGGTTCCTTTGGCATCCCAGGCTATGCACAGAAAGTGGGGTGTGGTGCTTCTGACTGAACCCCACACCTCAGATCCTCCCAGTATAAATGTTTCCTTGCTCAAAGGCGGGTGGGTTTTTTTTCCCCCCTACTACTAGACAGCCTGGCTCCCAGCATCCCCCTGCTGTGCCTACAGCCTCAGCCACACCCCTCACAAATGGCCTAGCTGCCAGCTGCGTCTTCCCTCCTGGGAATACTGTATTTCCCCGCTGCCTGCTGTTGTGTGACTGTGGGGGCTGGGTGGCGTGACCACTGTGCTCAGAGCCAGCCCTCTGCCGAGCAGGTGATGGTGTGGAACCTGGACACAAAGGAATCTGTCATCTCAAGCCCCGTGAAGACAATCACCTGTCACCAAGATGTGATCCTGTCCATGTCCTTCAACACCAACGGCAGCCTGCTGGCCACCACCTGTAAGGACCGCAAGATTCGGGTTGTCGACCCCCGCCTAGGGATTGTCCTCCAGGTTGGTGCTGGGCCAAGGTTCAGGTTGAGAGGTTGAGAATGGAGGTGACAGACAGCACTGTCGGCAGATGGGCTCAGCCTCTGGAGATAGCATCCCTCAGCATTATGGGGTGGGACTGGGGACTTGTCAGGATGCTGAGATCTGCTGTATCCACTCTACAGATGAGAAAACTAAGAGAAAGGAAATGACCTCCTGTTCACAGGTGGGCTATGAACCTGTTCTGACCTCGGAGCTAGCCACGTGCCTCAGATCTGTCACTGGCCAGGGGTCAGGAGCCGCCTTAGGCCAGCACCTTCTGCTTTTTGAGCCTATTGGCTCAGAAGCTGAAATGGGCCCTTTGTCTTTCCTCACTGGAGCTAAATAGGATAATTCCAGTGTCAGGACACAGCCGTGTTCCCCTACCTCACTCAGGGCAAGTGCTCACTGGGACTCTTGAAAGAGTGGCGTGGAGCAGGGTGTGGTGGCACATGTAATCTTGAGACAGGAGGAGTGAGGGTTCAAGGCCAGCCTGGGCTACATTATGAGGCCCTGTATCAAGAAAAGAGTGGAGAGGGCAGACCTTTGCCTGACTCTATTCAGAAGCAGCTCTCAGTGGAATGGGGAGATTTCACGTAAAGGGAGGGACCCAGGGCAGCTTCCTGGAAGAAGTGTGCCAAGCAGGAGCCAAGTGGGGAGACAGGAACTACACCTGCAGTCGGGAGTCCCCGGCCCACTGCCCTACAACACCAACACACTTGTCCCTTATCCCTCCAGGAAGCCAGCTACAAGGGACACCGGGCCAATAAAGTGCTGTTCCTGGGGAACCTCAGGAAGCTGCTCTCCACAGGGACATCCCGCTGGAACAATCGGCAGATGGCCCTGTGGGACCAGGTGAGTCTCCGCCCGCCCGCACCATCAGCCTGCAGCCCTGCGCAGCCTCCTCCACTCCTGTGGGTACTTTTGAACACTCCTAGTCAGCAGACGGCCTGGCTAGCCATGCACACTCATCATTCAGGAAGAGGTGGGATCCCGAGAGAGAGGCTCTGGAGAGGGGCTGGAGTAAGGCAGGGTCCAGCTGGAGAGCTGGTCTAGTACTGACAGTGGCCCAGCCGGGGGTGATCGGTGCTGTTCTGCTAGTGTCCTTAAGTGCTGAGGACATAATTCAGGGCCTCCTACCCGCTAGACGAGCAACCTGTCTCCTTCCGTGTGTTAAAAACAAGCGGGAAGTAAGATAAAGGTCGGAGGAATGAGAGTTCAAGGACATCTTTTGCTACATATTGAGTTCAAGTCTGGCCTGTGAAAGCTTATTTACTGGAAAGACAGGTACAGGGACGAGGGTCAGCTTATTTACTGGAAAGACAGGTACAGAGACAGAGGGTTCAAAGCCAGCCTCAAAATCACCTCCCAGTTTTCAAGTTTAAAACAGACCCTCGGTGGTAGAGAGTTTTCCTAAGTATCATGGAGCCCTGGGTTTGATTTTCAGTGCTGGAAAAAGAAAACAAACAGCCAGGTGTAGAGGGTCATGCTTATAATCCCAGGTAGGAGAACTGCTCTGAGTTCAAGGCTAGTGTTAGCTACAGAGGAAAACCCTGGCTCGAATAATTTTCGAAAAAACTCAGTAAGAGCAAAATATTGACAAAGATGGTTCAGGCGCTAAGAGCAGAGGACCAAGGTTTGGTTCCTAGCACCCGCGTTACCGCTCCCAGCTGTAACTCCAGTTTCAGGGAGTCTGACACCGTCTCCTTGTCTCCTTGGGCACTGCATACACATGGCGCGCAGACACACGGGCAGGCAGAACACCCATATACATAAAATGAGAAAGATGCATCTTTTTATAAAAGGCTCACCAAACGGGGTGGGGCAGTGCTGCCTAATTGTCATTTCCAGGAGAGAATAATCCACAGCCTGAGTCCTGAGGACCAGGACCTCTTTCCAAAGCATTGAGCCTAACACAGAGAAGCAAGCTTTCTGTCTCAAACACCAACCACACTCACTCACGGACACACCCAGCGCGGCAGCAGTTCGAATCTCAGGACCCACCAGGGATCCCAGGAGTGAGCCCCGTGTCTTGATGGCCTCCCTTCCTTTGCAGGACAACCTTTCTGTGCCCCTCACAGAAGAAGACCTGGATGGCTCCTCGGGGGTGTTGTTTCCCTTCTACGACCCGGACACCAGCATGCTGTACATTGTGGGGAAGGTCAGCTGGGCATAGGAGGCGGCCAGCCCTCTTGACTCCCCCACCCCCCACACAGAAGACAGAAATATGCCAAGCTTAGCTCTGTGGGCGGTCAGAAAACATCCTAGGGTCCTTGGAGGTGCATGGTGAAGACTGGAACTGGTGGCTAGAGAACACCTGCCCCTCCTTCCCCAACTCCCTAGGGCCACCTGGAGCAGGCGTGACCCCCACCCCCCCACCCAAGCTTGTTCTAAACTCTTGGTCCAGGTGATAGTTCTCAACAGGAAATCTTTGACTTTGAAGCAGAGTAGATCTCCTTGGGTGGGGATGCCCTTTATCTAGAACCTCTGTTCCGTACTCCGTATGCCAGTAACCGGCACCTCCAAATGACTCTGACAACCAGAAATGTCCCCATAGTGAGAGCCAGGGGTTGGTCTCTGAGACAAGCCATCCTGACTTCCTCGTGGTTGTCCTGTGGAATGTCCCCAGGGCTTTTGTGCTAGAGGAGCATGGGTAGGCTGGTGGTGTTGGTCAAGGACTTAGGCCTTGGTAGCTTGCAAGGCCAGAGCTCCCTGCTGTCCCTGAAGGAGATGGGTTCATCAGCTGTCTGATCTGAAAGCGGACTGAGTTATGGAGGCCAGGGAGGTGCTGATGGCCCAGCTCTGACGCTTCTAATTCCCCTCCACAGGGAGATGGGAACATCCGCTACTACGAGGTGAACGCTGAGAAGCCTTACCTGAGCTACCTGACTGAGTACCGCTCCTACAACCCCCAGAAGGGGATCGGTGAGTGGGACTCTAAAGCTCTATGGGGTCAGGGTACCAGGGCTGGGCCTTGGTATGGAAAGCCATCAGACAGGGACACGGATATGTGGGGGGCTGTGTCCATTGGTCATGAGCCAGTATCAGTCCCCCAGACTAGAAGAATTATAACAAGCAAGGTATGTTGGGACTCCTAGCTCTGGAAGTCCAAGGGGCTGCATCTGATGGTGCCTCTTGGTTACCAGATTCCTAAGACAGTGCAAGGCATTTGGCAGATGGAGGCATGAGTTTGAGGCCAACCTGGTCTACAAAGCAAGTCCAGGACAGCCAAGGCTACACAGAGAAACCCTGTCTCAAAAAAGAAAAAGAAAAAAGAAAGAAAGAAAGTCAGGTATATGGCTGTAATCCTAGGCTCCTGAAGCCAAGGCCTGAGTATCAGGAGTTTATGGCCAGCCTGGACTAAATAACAGCAAGGCCCTGCCTCGAACGAGCAACTGAGGGTTGGCGTTGTGATATATGCCTGTAGTCTAAGCACACAAGAGACAGAAGCAGGAGGGTCAGGAGCTCAAGGCCGTTCTCTGCTACACACCAAGTTTGAGACCAGCCTTGACTCTGTGAGATCATGTCTCAAAAAATAAATAGGAAATAAGCATTTGGGTTCTGGGTCTGTGAGGATGGAAGTGGGAAGCTTTGAGCAGAGCAGACTAGAGCAGACTTCAGGATCCAGGTAAAATAATTAAACCTTGAAGGTAGAGGCCCTGCTTGAATAGAGACCCCTTCAGCTATCTCCCTGCCCAGGGCAGCCCAGCCCAGCACAGGTGTTGGTCAGGAGCTGTTCACAGAGGAGAGCTATGGGGGAGGGCAGTTTCTGATGACAGCTCTGCAGTCTGCCATTGCCCTAGCCCAGCCCGGACTTCTCATCTCTTCTTGGCCGTATGGCCACAGGTGTCATGCCAAAGAGAGGCCTCGATGTGTCTTCCTGCGAGATCTTCCGCTTCTACAAGCTGATCACAACTAAGAGCCTCATCGAGCCGGTGTCCATGATAGTGCCGAGGAGGGTGAGAACGGTGGGACTGTCTCCCGGGAGGCTCCTCATTCAGCGAGGGTTGGGAGAAACGGACTCCAAGGCTCCACATTGCTCTCACTGTGCCTGCTTCTTCTGCAGTCAGAATCCTACCAGGAGGATATCTACCCGCCCACCGCAGCGGCCCAGCCCTCGATGACAGCTTATGAGTGGCTCAGCGGAGTAAATAGAGGTGAGGGAGGCTGGGAGCAGGCCCCTAGGGCAGGAAGATGGAGTCCTGGGGATCCCAAGTAGACGGCAGAGGACACTGTGGGTGGGTCTCTCCTTTCCAAAGCAAAGCCAAGGCCAGGCAGGATGGCTCGTGCCCTTGGGAGAGCCGAGGCAGGAAGTCTGGAAATACACAGCCATCCAGAACTACAGGGCAATACCCTGTGTAGGGGCAGAAGGAAGAGAGAGCAAGGACAGCTTCATTTAGGGAGTTTGGGCCTCTGGAAACAGCTCCAGTACATAGACTATGCTGTTCCTACATACTTCCCTTTCCCACACACACGTTGGTACCTGATTGCCTTGGTATGGGTCCATGACTAGACAGTAGTCTACTGCAGCACCTCCCTGTGTCCATGCCCTCCCCCCCCCCCCCCCCCCCCCCCCCCGGCCCCCCACCCCCCTCCCCCCCCTTCCCCCCCCCCCCCCCCATCTCCCAGGGCCTGTCATGGTGTCCCTTAGACCCGGCTCCGGGCTGCTGGACATCCAGGCGCTGCCTCCAGAGGGACACTTCTTCAATTCTGTGGTCCAAGTGTCACCCCAGCCCTTAGAAACGATGACACAGCTGGCCATGGATGGTGGCCAGGCACCCTGCTCCCTGCTGGAAGAGAAGGTGCCAAAGTGGGCCCCAGAGCATCACCTGGAGGAGAAGTCCTGGCTTACCAATGGCTTTGACGTTTTCGAAAGCCCCCCACCAAAGACAGAAAATGAGGTGAGAGGGAAGAGAGGCCTGCTGGATAGGGAGAGGGTGGTGGACTGGGAGGGAAAGGAGGGCAGAAGGGCAGCCAGCCGGATGGCCTGGCCTGGACCTTAATGCACTTAGCAAATTTAGTGAGCACATGGGCTCTGAGCAGCAGCCATATACCAAGATGATGATGTGGTGGGGACAGTCGGTGAAATGCAGAAGATACGACGTGGTACCATTATGGTCCTAGCACTGGCACTCTGAGATTTTTGAGGCCTGTTTTTAGAGCCGGCGCACACTAAGTGTCTGCCATATGCCAGGTTGGTATAATGGTTACTTTCATGCTGCTGTGGACAGAATGCTAATGGAACAAGGTCACCTTCCATTCCCACACTGAAGGAGGAGGCAGTAACACCGACACAGATGTCACAGGCATTTGGGGGGAACAGCAGATACCCTCAGGGGGTGCCCAGCAGCTAATGGCTGCTCTGTACAGTGCTGACATTTATGGTAAGGGCTGGTTTTCGCTTCCCAGAGGAGAAAACTGAGGACAGGTGAGGCAACTTGCTTGTAATTAGCAACTTTGTTGTCATTGCTGCTGTGACCAAAAAAAAAAAAAAAAAAAAAAAAGTGACAAAGGCAGCTTAAATGAAGTGAGACAGGCGTGGCGTGGCGGCAGGAGCTTACGGCAGCATCACGAGGCATCCACTCCACAGGCAGGAGGTGGAGTGAGGACAATGCCAGTGCTCAGCTCACTTTCTCCTCCTTACTCGTCCAGGACATATATATATATATATATATATACATATATATATATATAATCTGGACTTTGAAAATCTCCAAATTTCCAGACTTCAAGACTAAATACCCTCAGGGATCTGGAAAGGAGAAATATACAAATAAGCTATTTGAACTTAATTATTGGGTAAAGTAAGCAAGAGGAATGACTGTAGCCTTGTTAATTTTTAACCACTGTCACCCAAGTCAGAAAGAGTTCGTGTCTTAGCCTTTGAACTGTTGTCTATCCCGGCACCCCAATGACCTTGCCCTCTGCCCCGTGCTTCCCCAGCTGCTGCAGATGTTCTACCGGCAACAGGAGGAGATCCGGAGGCTCCGGGAGCTGCTGATCCAGAGAGAGGTTCAGACCAAGCAGCTGGAACTGGAGATCAAAAACCTGCGGATGAGCTTAGGACAATTCTGAGCAGAGATCTCCGCCATCCTCGCCCTCAGGGACACCGCTAGGCTCGGTGGGGGGTCCAGAACCAAACCACAGGTCCCCCAAAACAACCGCTATTTCTATATTTTATATCAAAAAACAAAACTCTCAGTCGCTGAAAGAGATCCCAGTGGGGCACGGTGCCACCCCTCTATTGCCTTCTCACAGTTTCTGCCCCGGCTGGTTTAGATTACACCCTGCCTTCTGCTGAATTCTGGTCTTAAGGGATGGTGAGGACCTATGACCTCCCAGAGGGAAAAAGCTTAGTAGAAAGGTCTGGAAGAACTGGGTAGGTCCACCTGCCTATGGTTTACAACTCTGGCCATAGAATGGGGGGACGATTTGGCCAGTGGGCTCATTCCAACAGGTGTTCCCCGTCTCCTTCAGCCCACTTTGGAATATATACTTTGAGCACTAAATTATTTATTTTAGAAGTTTGAAAACCACTGATCTGGCTCAGTTCCCTCATTCTATGGGTGAGGAAACTGAGGCCCAGAGAAAGACAGATAAGATTTGTTTCCTGGCGAGGCTTGACTGAGGTCCTGTCTCTCTGGGTCTATCTGACAGTCTCCACAGTAAGATCCATCGGTTCTGGCCTCACCTGTGTCCAGACTTACCTGATGACCTCTTACCCAGTACTTGTCTCTCTGGTCTCAGTTTTTCCATCTGAACAAGGGGAATGTTTGCATGAGCTGCCCTCTCCGTGACCTGTCACCAAAGACTTGATCCTGACCCAGGTTTAGTGCAGAAACTCACACTGGCTCAGGGGCTCAACCTGAGAGGAATGAGTGAAAATTTTCTAAACCACACTGGCCAAACCAATCCTTCCAGCCACAATCAGCTGTGTCCATGTCCTGCCACCTCCAGGAGGGCAGAAGCGGACTTCCACCCAGGTTATCTAAAGGCCTCTGGGAGGTAGGGGTCCCCAGCATAAAATGTGGCCAAGCCCTGTGGCCACCCACCAGTAAGGGCTGTGGTCAACTGCACTAAGTGAGAAAGTGGGACCGGATGGCACCCAATCTGAAAGCCTGTTTCCCTCTCTTGTGCCCAATTTGGAGACTTTTCTTTCTTGGTGGTCGGTACAACAGCCCACTGGTGGCTGAGAAGAACTTGAGACAAAGCTTACCAAAGGAGATGCCCCCACCCCACTCCCACTCCCCTCTGAACAGACAGGCAGTGTTTTCCCCATCTCACAGGGTCACTCGAGCTCAAATGAGAATTGCAGGGGTCACCCAGACTAACAGATTTTGACCCATGTTACCCTTCTGGACTGGCACACTGATGACCAGACCTGCCCCACTGAAGCTGACTCTTCAGTGGAGGGGATGGCCCTCTGGACAAGCTACCCAGATGACCTCAGGACAGTGGAAATGGAGACACAGGCTAGTCTGTGTCTTGCCTGTATTGGCAAGGAAAGTGGTACAATCCCAAGACTCCCACGTTGCCTTGTCACTCCTCGTCGCTGGCATCTGCACACACTGGAGTCCTGCGGTCCTTGATTTAGCCTCCATCCATCCATCCATCCATCCATCACTAGCCCAAGACTCCTAACTCCGATGATGAGCCAGCTATGCTGGCCTTATTTGTACTCCTCAGTAAAAGGCTAAGTCCCGGGCACCCTACCCCCAACCCCATGTTCAGCAGTCAGGCCAACCTCGGAGTGAAGAAACCAGCCCAAAGCCACTGATGCCACCCATGTGTGGCGGGGGTGGGGCCTAGAGAGCGTCCCATTACATCTCTGCACAGCACCATACCCCTGCAGAAGTTCTCCTCACTGTAAGGGACAGACCAGATCTCAGAGTCGAGAACAGGTCACAAGCGGCTATGAACAAATTTGTTGTTCTTTTTGTTTTTGTTTTTGTTTTTTTTACATCTAGAGTAAATTATTTAAATTATTTCATAGCAAGGTAAAGGGATAGGTAATTTTTATCAGATATTTTTTAAGTCGTCTTTTTTTTTAAGATTATAATTTTATTTTCTTGAGCTAATGGAGCAGCAGTACCCACTGAGGCAGCGTCCCCCCAGATGGCAAAGGAGCGCCCATCTCCTCACTTCATGCCTTGGGAGCTCCCTTTCTGTTGACTCAGGAACTTTGTGTGGATGAGGAGAGCGCCTGGGGATGAGCAGTTGGCTGGTACTCACTCACCTTAGCTCTAGAATAATTCTGCTTCCTGGAACAAAACTTGAGGTCTTGTATGAGAGGGAAACAGGAAGTGAGAAACAGATCTATGCTTTTCATATGAAACCGTGCCTGAAGCTGTTTGAGTGATTGTTTTAATGTTTCTTAAATTCCTTGTACCTTTGTAAAAAAAAAAAAAAAAAAAAAAAAAAAAAAAAAAAAAAAAAAAATAAAAAGTAAAAAAAAAAAAAAAAAAAAAAAAAAAAAAAAAAAAAAAAAAAAAAAATTAAAAGGTAAAATAGATGCAGAAGCGTGCAATGGAAGAATATAACAATCAACCCTGGGTGGAAATCTCCACCTGTAATCCCGGCACTTGGATGGCTGAGGCAGAAAGAGTGAAAGCTTCAGACCTGCGTGGGCAAAGAGTGTGAGACCCTGCCTCAACCAAAATAATAATATAATAATAAAAACACCAGGCTTGATACTGTAATGTATGGAGATTTCATTTTGTTAATTTGTTCAACAAGTACCAATTTAGCCACTAGTGTTTGGACCAGAAACCCTTGGTGGCAAACTGGCCAATGAGGTTCTAAGACCCTTGAAGTGTTTTCAGTCGTGGTTGGGAAAATTCGGGAGGGACAGGAACGGGTCAAGGCTGGTCAGGCTGACCCGGAGAAGTGGTTTCCTGAAGGAGATAGACCAAAACCTCAAGTGGATGAGGGACAGTGAGCAGCAACTATACCCTAAGCAGAGAACTGCAAGATCCCCGGGCTGGAAACGGTGTGGGCCACCTACCCAGTAGGGCAGGAGGGACAGGACCATCTTCAGAGCCTGCGGCCTTTGGGTGCTAGCCTGGGGTTGTTAAGGTTTCCTAGAAGTCTATTCCAACCCCCCAACAAAGCTGACCACAGGGAAGGGGCACTACAGAAAAAAGAGTGGGAGTGTGGGAAATGGGAGCCCTCTGGGCAGGAGCTAACTACCAGGCACCTCCACTCCGCCATAGTTTGCTGAAAGCACCCAGACCAGCATCACCAAACAAGAAGCCGACCTTCCATTTAGCCCATCCTAGCGAGCGAGCACCAAGCACGGGCGTTCTTGTCTGTAGGAGACTCCTCCTCCACAGGGCGGAAGAGTCGCCAGCACTAGGCGGGACCAGGCATCGATCTCCAGCAGGTCATACCCCCTCCAGCCTGCCACTGACAGCTGGGTCACCCGCCCCGCCCCAAGCAAGGTTTCGATTCCCGCGTTAACCCCACCATACTACGGGAACGACTGAGGTTGCCACTACGGATGGAGGGGGACACTGCCGGGGCGCCGGCGCTAGTCCAGCCCGAGTGGGCGCTCGGCTGGCGCTGCCGAGAGCACAGCGAACGCCCGGCTGAGCTCTTCTGTCGCCGCTGCGGCCGTTGCGTGTGTGCGCTGTGCCCCGTGCTGGGTGCGCACCGCGGCCACCCGGTGGGCCTGGCCCAGGAGGAGGCTGCGCGCGTGCAGGTGGGGAGTCGGAGGGGGGGGGGGCGTGCACGGCAGGTCTGGGCGGGCGGAGGTTGAGCACGGGAGTAACAACCGGAGTAACGGCCGGCCGAGGGAGCGCCAGCCCAGGTCTTATTGCCAAATGCCGTTAGCACCTGGAAATTTAAGGGGGCCCCCCCGTAAATGGTAGGCGTAAAATTGGGAGGCACCATCACAACTTCAGAGGATTAGTTGGGATACTGGAGACGCAGGTGTGCTCCGCCGCTTTTGCTAGGGCAGCTCCCGGACCAGAGGTTTGGTGAGCGGAGGAAGCCGGGACGCTAAAACCCAACCCCTCGGGGAAGAGGCTGAGAAATTGAGAGCTTAAAGCCAGCCTGTGCTACAAAGCGAAGCCTAACTCAAAAGACCAGATTGGAGCTGGGGTTGGAGAAAAAGAAAACCAGATGTGTGTGCTCCCAGACGTCTGTTTCTGCACACTGGAGTTCATAGAAGGCCGTTCTCAACTGGGGCCATACTGTTTTGGAAACTCAGTAAGGCCCACTTCCTGCCTCCAATCCGGCTCCTCCCTCTATGCAAACACACCACTGTCGTGTCCCCCGTCCCCACCCCCCCTCGCTAGCCTTATCTTCTGGAGATAACCAGAGAGCAGGATCCCCAGCAAGCAAGCTTGGCTCTGCAGAACCTGTTCTCACCTCTGGATTTGAGGACAGCAGGCTAGGCAGAGCTTCTGTCTCCTGATTTTATCATTTCTTTCTCCAAGAAGTCTTAGGAACCCTGACCCTCAAACACCTTCCTTTCTGCCCTCCCTTGACTTAACCACCTGGGACAAGCCTACAACTCCAAGCCGAAATAAGGCCCGTGGGAGGACAATCTGGTAGAGGGGGCCTGTCCCTGCTTCCAGAACTTTCCTTTGGTACCAGAAATGTCTGTGACAATGTTCCTTACACAGTGCCGCTTGGAGATCCAAGGTTGTTTTCCAGAGCAGTGGCCCCAGGGTCTCCCCCTGGGGTCATCCGTCTCCAGATGGGACTCACCAAGTGTGTCCACACTTGCACCCTTTGCTCATTCCTCTACCTGTGCACAGAGCCATTCCCTCACCCAAACACCCACTGAGCACAATGCCTTATGCCGTGAGCCAAGTCATAAGTCAGGTCCTCCCCTTACCTGGGCCAGTTTCCTGGCTGGTCGGGGCAAGAACAGTAACAATGCCAAGGTGGTGGCCAGTGAGAACCAGAAAAAAAGAGCCTGGGGCAGAAAGCCACACAAGCCTTCCCCAGGGAAGCGCTGCTGGGCATGACTTTGAGGGTAAGTAGGGTTTCATGGGGTTCCAAGGCAGAAAGTCCTGTGGCGGGAGGTGGGGTCCCCAAACCAGAAGGCTGGGGTATCCCTGAGCCGCCTTGGACACCAAGTGGCTCAGGTGTCACAATAGATGTGGAAACCGAGGCCAAGGCTGAGCCCCCTCTCTACTTCCAGCTTCCCCTTTCAGTAGAGCCAATCACAAGTGCAGCAAATGATTATTGTATGTTTAAATGGCAAAACAACCTTTTACGAGCATGTGCTACTGACCAGGCACTGGATCTCATTAGTCTCCAGAGTATCCCTGTTAGCAGTAATGGAAATGGGTTCTGGGCAGGCGGCTGTGGAGCTAGGGCTATGACCTAGCTTCATTCTTACTCCAGAGCTCACTCATACTCCTGCCAGCTTCCTTGGGCTTCCAGTTCCCCCCTGGGAAAGTGCCATACCTTGGAATTCCTGGCTGATTAATGTTTCAGACACCCACCCCCGTTCCTATGAGTTAGGCCCAGATGCCAAATGGAAGACCAGCTGTAAGGAAGGCACAGATGGAGCCACCCTTGGAGGGAGGAGACCCGAAGCAGGCATTTAGAAAAATCGCAACTTCTAAAAGCAGACAGAAAAACAGAAAACAGGCATCCAGGCTGGGGTCATCTCTGGCAAAGGCTTGAGGCCCATAGGGCCGGAGTCTCTGCTCCCTAACCCCCACCTGGCCACGTGACTTTGGGCAAACTACCCACCTTCAGAGCCTTGGGTATACCTGCAGAAAAAGAATTCAGTGGGAGGTCAGTGAAGTGGCTTAGCAGGTGAAGATACCTGTTGCCAAGCCTGAGGACCTGAGTTCAATCCCTGAGACCCAGCCACATGGTGGAAAGAGAATGGACTCTGCAAACTGTCGTCTGACCTCCACATGCGTGCTATGGCCCAGTGCCCCATCCCCACCCCATAAATAAATAAAATCTGATTGAGAGGAAAAAGAAAGAATAAAGGGGAAATTGGGAATGAGAATTTGTAGCTTGAAAGTGACAGCTTTTGTTTTTTGTTTTGTTTTTTTTCCTCCCCTGCCCCTTATCACAGCAACTAATCCAGGACTGTTTAGAGTGTTTGGCAACCAAGAAGCAGCAACATGCTGACAACATAGCCCATTTGGAAGACGCTGGGGAAAGGCTCAAGGCAAGTGGACATGGCCCCCTCCCAACTAGCCATCCTCTGTGTGTATGTGGGTACCAGTGAGTTTATTTGGGGTTACATAAAGAACCGTGAGCAATGGGTTATTTACAGGAGCACGGGAAACAGGCTGTATTTTGAAATAGGGTCTTAGGAAGCTAACCAGACCAGCCTCCAGCTGGCCTTGAACGCCTTGAACTCAAGCTTCTGCCTTAGCTTCCCAAGTATTTTGGATTACAGGCCTTAACTACCAGGATCGGTTGGTTGGCTGGTTGGTTGATTGATTGAGTGACTGATTGATTGAAGACTACATAGGCCAATACTGCTTCAAATTCACAATCCTCTTGCCTCAGCCTTGTGCGTTGCTAGGATAGCACCATCATACAGGTGTGTGAAATTGGCTCCCCAGCTCCAAATATCCATTATCAGTCAGGGCTCTACATGTCCTGGTGTTCTGGGGGTCCTCACAGGTCACATTGATGGCCCTAGATTTATTAATAGTGACCTTCCCTCAAAACTCCACGAGCAGGCCTGGCTGGGCATGGTGGCTCACACCTACGATCCCAGCATTTTTGAAGCAAGATCAAAGTCTAAGTTTGAGGCCAGCCTGATCTACTACTGAGTTCCAGGCCAGAGCCAAAGGGCCAGGTAGCAAGACCATGTCTCAAAAAACAAACAAAACCAGTAGGTAGGGGCCAGCAAGATGGCTCAGCACCTGTTGCCTGAATTCAAGCCCTGGATCCCACAGTAGGAGAGAACAGACTTCTGAAAGTTGTCCTCTGACCTCTATATACACATGTCCTCACACACAAAACACACATACAATAATAATATGAACATGTGAACATGTTATGAACATGTCCTCACATACAAAACACACATACAATAATAATAAAAGTTTTTCAGGCAGTGGTGGCTCACGCCTTTAACTCCAGCCGTCGGGAGGCAGAGGTAGACGGATCTCTGAGTTCCAGGTGAACCTAGAAAAGCATCTCCCCACACAACGGCACTGTGCCAGATCTCACTATAGATGGCTATGTGCCACCATGTGGGTGCTGTAGATGGTTATGAGCCACCGTGTGGGTGCTGGGAATTGGATTCAGGACCTTCGGGAGAACAGCCAGTGTTCTTAACCTCTGAGCCGTCTCTCCAGCCTGTGTCAGCAAATCTTAAACATTTTACTCTGAACCAGCTCCAGATTCACAGGAAACTGCCAGGGTCCTGTCCCTTCACCTAACTGGCTAAGGGTTATTTCTGTGACTCGTAGCTGTCCTCCAGTGCCGAGCCCATAATCTATCTAACGGTGTGTATATCAGCGCAGCATATATCAGGGGTCTACACACATGGCCATTTATTGTTGTTATTTATGTGTATTTATAAATTATGTGTCTAGATGCTTAGGCTCAACATAGCTGATAACAGGTCTTGAGATACTTGATGGTCCTTCTTTGCTTTTCCAGAATTGTTTGGGCTCTTTCGATGGGTTTGGAGGCTCACACCTGTAATTCCCAGCACCCAGATGCTAAAGCAGGAGGTTTGCCCCAAGTTTGAGGACAGCCTGAGCCACATAGTGTGCTGCAGGACAGCCTGGCACACAATGTGAGATGATTCTGTCTCAGGAAGCAAGAAAGAAAAAAGTCAGGTATGGTGGTACGCATAACTCCACAACATGGGAGACTGAGACCCAAGGATCACAAGTTCAAGGCTAGCCTGAGCGACATTGCCTCCACCAGTAAGTCTCCAGATTTATGAACATGGTATATCCCTGGATTTACTTTTCCTTTTTTCGGTGTCTGAAGTAGTCAACTTATTCAACACACAGTACTCAAACTCTGTATGTTTTTATAATCTACTTTTTAATTTATTTTAATTTGTGTGGGCGTGTCTTTGTCTTTGTGTCTGCCACATGTGTTGGGCTGCCCACAAATGCCAGAACAGGGCGTGAGATCACTTGGGGCTGAAATTACAGGTGGTTGTGAGCTGCCCAATATGGGTGTCAGGATCCAGTCGGGAGCGCTGCAAGAACAGCTCTCCACTCCCGAGTGACATCCGAGCCCTTCTTAGCTCTCACACTGAGACAGGCACAGGCGTTCTGGAGGTGCCCTCTGTGGCAGACAGGGCTGCTCTGGGCTTAGTAGCCTAACTGGGGAGAGTCTCCTTTGGTGTGGAAACTAACCCACAGAGCTGTGTAAACAGCTATGTAAAAGGAAGTTCAGACATGGTCCAGAGTTGAGGTTGTGGCTGTCAGTCTCCCGCCCACACCGTCTAAGGCTGTGAGCTTCCCGTCCTGGCTCTGGAGAAGTCTGGGCATTCATGTGTCAGGGTAACCCCATGCTCACCCACTGCCTTAGACGTCCCCCTGCACTGGTACTGGACGGCACTAACACAGCATCATCATTCTCTCTGAATCTCCCGTGTTTTATGCAGCGAAGTTTATTTGTTGTGTGGGCATAGGATCTTACCAGCCTGTGTCTTCCAGGCTGGCCTTGTGTGTATGTGCGTGCAGGTGAGTGTGCGTGTGGGTCATGTGATCAGGGGGCAGAGGTCAACTACAAGTGTCTTCTCGGTCCCTCTCCTGAGTTTTTCAGGCAGGCTGTCTTATGGGAGGCAGAACTCGGGTTCAGGTAGGGTGACTGGCCTTTGAGCTCCCGGGCTCTGTGATCTGCCTGTCTCCACCTCCTCAGTGCTGGGATTAAAGGTGCCATCTGCCATTCCCTGGGGGACCACGATTGGGATGTAAAGTAAATAAATAAGTTGATTAATTTAATAAACTACAGTCTGCCATTGCCAGATTTTTTAAAAATTCATTTTTACTTTACGTATAAGGGTTTTGCTTTCAGGCATGTATGTGCACCACATGTGTACAGTGCCTGTGAGGGTCAGATGAAGGCGTTGGATCGCCTGGAAATGCAGTTACAGACTGCTGTGAGCCACCACATGGGTGCTGGGAACTAAACCCAGGTCGTCTTCGAGAGTAGCAAGTGCTCTTACCTGCCCAGCCATTTCCCCCAGGCCACGCCCAGCTTGTTATGTTGGTCCTGGAGCTCTGAACTCAGGTCCTCAGGCTTAAGCAGCAAGCATTTTAATCTTTCCAGCCCCTATATGCTTTTCTATTTCTTTGTCGAAGCAGCTTTTTATTACTGTGTGTGTGTGTGTGTGTGTGTGTGTGTGTGTGTGTGTGTATGAGTGTGCATAACACAGCCCACATATGGAGGTCAGAGAACAGTTTGCGGGAGTTGGGTCTCTCCTTCTGCCACACCTCAAGGATCTTATTCAGGTTGGCAAACTTGGTGGCAACTGCCTATACCCACTGAGCCACAACCAGCCTTTATTTAGCCTTGTTGTTGTTGTTGTTGTTTTGAGACAGGGTTTTTCTGAATATCCTGGAACTAGGTCTGTAGACCAGGCTTGCCTTAAACTCAAATACCTGCCTCTGCCTCCTGTATTAAAGGTGTGCACCATTATGCCGACTTTGGGGTATTTCTATAGAGTCTAGGCTGGTCTTAGAGTCACTGTGTAGACCAGACTTGAATTTATGATAATCCTCCTGCCTCAGCTTTCTGACTGCTGGGATTGCAATCATTCACCACGATGCCCAGGTTGGCCTTAATTATCCTGTTTCATGCCCCCAAGTGCTGAAATTTTGGCATGTGCCACTATGTTATACCTTGATACTTTTATAAATGGGGGAGAAAAGTAGGCGGAGGGAGAGAGTGTCCGTGGGTGAAGACTGCTTGTTGCCTGTTGAAGCAAGCACAATGAGGGATTTCGAATGTGCCGTCTTTCAGAACTGAAAGACCCATAAGAGGTGCATGGCCGGGCAGCATGTGCTCCCTGCAGTCCAGGCTCCATGAGAAGCTGAGGTAGGGGGACTGCTTGAGCTGTGGAGTTAAAGGCCAGCCTACACTATGTAGAGAGACTCTATCTCAAGAAGAAAGTAAACAATAAACAAACAAACCAAAAAACTCCCAAAAAGCAAAGCAAACAGAAACAGCCTTTGGAGCCCTCCTTTGTATAACTGACCAAATGCAGGGCTCGGCACGTGGACCAGTCGGCTGAGTCAGACCCCTGGGTTCAGCATCCATAAACTCCCATAAAACCAGCTGTAATGGTAATGAATACCTCTAATCCCAGAGCTAGGGAAGGAGAGGCAGGAGGCTGAAAAACTCCCAAGTATTCCCAGCTACGAGTTCAAGGTGCGCCTGCTTACATGACAGTCTGTCCTAAAAGGAAAGGAGAATATGTATATGGAAATTGAGGCCAGGGAGGGAAGTAATTTATCGTGGGTCACATAGCAGGGGGGACCTGAACCACCTAGGGAGAGAGAAATTTCTGGGGTTTCAAGCGGAGGGAGAGAAGTGTGGTCAGTGCAGGATGAGACAGAAGAGTCAATCGGAAGTGCTCCAGCCCAGCCTGCAACCATTAACAGGGCCCAGGGCCTCCTGAGTGCAATCTGGAACCTCAGCAGGCCTGTTTCCTGGGAGCTGGAGGGTGGAGGGACTCAGTAGGGAGCCACTTCCGGACATTGCCCTGCTGGGAGGAACATCCTGCAGCTCCCTTGCCCTTACCATCAGCCTTTGCTCTAGTTTCTCCTCACGTTAACTCATGGAAGTCTGAGAGACTCAGCCTGCAGAGCTGAGGAAAGGCAAGCGATGGGCCTGAGGCACACGGTCTGTGGTTGGTGCTAGACCTGATCACCAGTAGGGGCTGGAATAACTCCCCTCAGCTCCTGGCTCTGTGCCTTCGTGGCCCCCGAAAGCTGTGGGGGTAGAACCAGAATGTGGGTCAGGTGGCCTGAGGCAACTTGCACCAGACTAGAAATGTGGCCGTGTTGCTGGCCTTGACCATGCTACTAGCCTCCATCACACTGCTGGGTATGGCCATTCGTCTGCCTCTGTGCTGGCCTTTGCTGCTGTAACTGAAATGGGAAGGATTGGAGGGGCTTATTTCACACCTGGCTGCACCACCCACAACCGCCCCTGTTTCCCAGTTGAGCCCAGTGTGCAGGAAGCAGCTTTCTGCCTTCTCCTCAAAGGCCCCTCCCCTCCTGTAGAAGACTGGAAGGTGGGGTCACATAGTTCACATAGTAGCCAGCATCCCCCTAACTCCCTCACCTCCATGAAGAGGGCTTCCTGGCTGGTCAGGTTCTTTCTTGCCTGATCCTCAGACACAGCTCAACCAGGCTCCACAGGGCCTCCCACTGCCGCCAGCAGGCCCCACCCAGCCCAGCTCCACACTCAGTTCAGTGTCCGTCCCGTTTCACTTTGACTCCAAGGGACCCAAGCCGGCAGCCAACTTCCTTATCCTTCTCTCTGTGTATCTCCCTCCTTTTCCTCCTCCCTCTCTCCTGGGATATACTTTGAGACAAAAATGGGTCGTCAGGACTGCTTGGAACTCAGCTCAGTGGGAAGGAATGATGAATCCTGTTGCTTTTTCTACAGAAGCCTGGTTCACCCAATCGCTTCTAACACATATTCATCACTCGAGGCTTTGGGGTGGGTCTCCTCCCATCCATGTACCAACCAGGCCCAAGCTGCCTACTTTCTGAGACCACACTGAGTCGCTCCCATTCCCTGTGGTATGGCTGTGGACAGAAACATATTTTCTTTTCTTCCTTCGATCTTGTGATAAAGAGACACCAGCAAGCCAGGTACACTGACCCTCAGCCGCCATGTTACAAATAAGACCATGGGCACGGGAGCTGGAGCCAGAACCTAACGGCTCTTTGAGCCTTCTGTAGGACACACACAAACTCCGCTCCCATCTCTTGCCAAACCGCAAGTTGTCAAAAGCAGCACGTAGGGACGTGTGTAACAGCACTGGCCTGTAATCCTACCGCTTGGGAGGCAGTGACAGGAAGGTCTGTGTTTGAAATCAGCCCAGGCTACAAAATGGTGACATTGTCTTAAAGGAAAAAAAAAAAAAAAAAAAAAAAAAAAAAAGGCACATCTCAGTAGCTAAGGGCTGGCCTGGCCCTGTGCATCACTCTAAAGGGCTGTCATATTTTCTAATCCGGCTTATTTCACTTCCGGTTGTGTCTTCACGGTTCATCTGTGCTGTAACACGTATGAAAGCGCTGCATTCTTTAATGACTGTGCGTTCTGTACTGTGTGGTTACAACATGCTCTGTATAATCAGCAAGCTTGAGCATGCGCCATCGGAAACTGAACCCAGCTATTCTCCGTGTATAAGCGTTTGCTCAGCTCGGAAGTCTTTTTCGTGCAGATGAATGCATTTTCTGCAGGCTTTTCATGTCTCCCCGTGTAATTTTATACCTTACGTTAGGTGCTGGGGATCAAACCCGGGGATCAAACCCAGGGCCTCCTGCACCCCTGGCCAGTTCTCTACCACTGTGCTGCACTCTAAGCCCTTTGGCAGTTTCTGCTATATTTGTTTGTAGACGTTTTGTTCTCTGCCCCCTCCATTTAAAGGATTTTCATTACAATTTTTTTTTAATTTTAGTTTTTCATACAGTATATTTTGATCAAATTTTTCCCCTCCCTCAAGATCTCTCCCATATCTCCATATCTTCCCCAAGGGTTTTGGGGGTTTGTTTCTGTTTTGTTTTTGTTTTTGTTTTTGTTTTTTTAAGACAAGCGCTCATGACACCAGGCTGGCTCTGACCCTGACTTCTGATCGACGTGCCTCCGCCCTCTTGGGGTGCAGCACCATATCCTGTGTCTCCAGCTCAGGGTGCGCATGAGGCAAGCTCTCTGCCAACTGTTCTGTGTGCCCAGCTCACAGAGCAGCGTTAGACCAGGCATGGTTACCCATCTCTTCAATCCCAGCACTCAGGAAGGAAGTCATGTAGAAGACTGGGAGTTAGAGACTACCTGGCTACAAAGAAAGACAAAAAAAGCAAGAGGAGAAAGAGGAAAGAAAGATGGGGGAAAGGTTCTTCAGTGGCTGTGGTGCTGCACATTTTTAATCTGAGCAGTCAGGAGGCAGAAGCAGGGGAATCTCTTGTGAGTTCAAGGACTGGTCTACATAGTGAATTTCAGAACAGCCAGGGCTACACAGAGAAACCTTGTAGTCTCAACACTATTTGCCAGTGCTTAGAAAAACTTTATTTTATGTTATTTTATTTATTTGAGTGGCCTCAAACCTGGCCACCTTGCTGGCCTCACCCCGTAGATGCTGTTTTCTGTTCAAGACTTCCTGGTTGGCAGTTGTATTGTCTACACTTGACTTTTTTTTTTTTTTTTCTTTAAGGCTTATGCAGACTCGAGTAAAGCCTGGCTGACACAGAAATTCACAGAACTCAGATTAATCCTTGATGAAGAGGAAGTACTGGCCAAAAAATTCATCGATAAGAACACAGAGCTCACCCTCCAGGTGTACAGGGAGCAAGCGGAGTCTTGTGGGAAGCAAATCAAGGTCATGGATGACTTCTCTACCAGGGCATGGAGCATCAGCCAAGAGCCCAACCCTGTTCAGCTGCTGCAGGTATGGCTGGGCTCTGTTATCTTACAGCGGCCACCTGCTCCTCATACCACACCTGGGTCACTGTGGCATCAACATGGTCTTTACACTCTGGGGAAATGCTCAAAGATTTCCCTGGCCAGCAGGTAGGCTTTATTGCCACCACACAGCTAATCAGGAAGCACACACTGTTAGGATGTGCACTTGAGTTCTACCAGCAGCATTTCCCAGGGTCCCCAAGTTGCAAGCACTTTGTGAATTGTCTTAGTCAATGTTCTATTGCTGTGAAGAGACCCTATGACAGTGGCAAATCTTTGTTTTTGTTGGTTTTGGTTTTTGATAGTGCTGGCTGTCCTGGAACTGGTTCTGTAGGTCAGGCTGCCCTCAGAGTGATCCACTTGCCTCTGCTTCCTGAGGGCTGAGATGAAAGGCGTATGCCGGCAACGAGGCTGACCGTGGCAACTCTTATAAAGAGAAAGCATTTAACCGGGGCTGGCTTAGAGTGTCAGAGGTTTAGTCCCTATCATCATCACAGCTGGAGCATGGCAGCGTGCAGGCAGACGTGGTGCTGAGAGTTCTACGAGCTTCTGAAACCCCAAAGCCCACCCCCAATGACACACTTCCTCTGACGAAGCCACATCTCCTAAACCCTCTCAATCAGTGCCACTCCCTGATGACTAAGCAGTCAAATAAATGAGCCTATAGGGGCCATTCCTCCTCAACCAACACGTGAATCTTAGCTCAGATATTTACTAGAGGTCTTCAGTAGGGCTTCTGGTGGATGAGATTTGGGGCGAAGGGAAGGAGGGCTCACTGGGGTTCACACTCTGATAGGATCCAAACCTGGGCCTGGCCAGGATTGGTGATATATGCCAGTAAACCTAGCATTCGGGAGGAGGAGGAGGGAGGAGGAGGAAACCCTGCCTCAGCAAAACAAAACAAAAACCGGAGTGGAACCAGGTCTGTACACACTCAGGTGTATCCGCACTGAGACAGACCCTCAGCACGGCCTGGACTTCAGTGCTGTGGTTTCCTCTTCACCCTGGCCCGCCTGGGTACCCTGTGGGAAGGGAAGGAAAGGGGAATCAGGAGAAAGAAGGGTGGGGGAGGGGCTCCATTTGCCTTATACCTCAGGCAATTGCGCAGTCTCCCCAGGGCTCTGCACTGTGGCACAGGTTGTCCAGGCTACGGTGACCAGGCTGAGCGGGTCCCAACTTTCTTGGGCATGCAAAAGAGGTCAGATGCAGCTTGCAGCCCCAGGAGCCATCTTGACGTTGTGCCCGTCTGCACAGGCATATGTAGCCACTAAGGCAGAGATGGGACAGCAGATGATCCCCTCGGAGCTGTGCCACCCTGTGCCCCTGTCCTTCGAGCCTGTCAAGAACTTCTTTAAGGAGTTTATGGAAGCCGTCCGGAATACTTTACAGACACCAATGGACACTCGCCTGAAGGAAAGTGAGTTGCCTAATGACCGACTTTGAGTCCTTGCTCACTGTAGCTGTATCGTCAGCTGACACGGTACCTCAGAAAAGCAACTTAGGGTGATGGGTTTGTACTGGCTCAGTTGCAGCGTGTGGTGGTGAGGGAGTCACGGTGGCAGGAGCCTGAGGCGGCTTGTCACGCCACGTCTGCAACCAGGAAGCAGGGAGGTGGGTGCTGGTGCTGGGCTCCCTTCTGCCAGTCTACACATTCTGGGACCCTGAGGTCCTCCCTTCCCCCAGGGGTCAGGGGTCATTGGCCCATGAAGACTAAGGGAGAGAAGTGACAGGTGGGGTTCAGACAGCTGTGAGAACGCCAGACAAGACTTCAGGGAGTCAGCTCACTTTATTGTGTCAGGTGTGGAAGGGGTCTTGGAGTTACAGGCAGGAAGAGCTGATTGGTCATACCAAAGCTGTACGTTCCTACCATTAGCATGAGTCATCCCAATCTAGAAACGCCCCTGAAGATCGTCCCAGAGATTTGGTTCATGATGACTTCAATCCTAAGTTGACAATGACAACCATCATCCCCCACTAACGCTTCACCCCAGAGAGGCAGAGAGAGCTCACAGCTTAAATTGTGTGTCCTCATAGGACGCCCTGGCTGGGCAGTTGGAAGCTCCTGGCTTAGTGCCCACCTTCCCCAGCTTCTGTCCTTGAAATGGAACGGAGGGCTTCCAGCACGAAGCAAGCTTTCTGCCATGGAGGCACATCCCCAGCCCTCTTTTTGTTTTGAGAGCATCTTAGTTAAGTTACTCAGGCTGGCCCCTTGACCTTTCACCCCTCCTGACCCAGTCTGCTGAGCAGATTACAGGTGTGTGTCACTATGCCCCATTTCAACCTATCCTTAACAACTGATGCCTCCTCTACCTTTCCTGAGCCAGTGGCCTGCTTGCCTCTCTCCAGCCACCACTTCAGGGGCTGCTCAGAGCAATACTTCGCCAGCTCTTACCCCTCCTCTTCTGCCCAGCGACCAGCCCACCATCCCTGCAGGCAGCTGAAACAGCTGTACACACCGAAGGCTTTCTACTGACTCTGGCTAGTTCCCCTCCCTGTTGTGCTCGATTTAAACTCTACTTTATTTGGGGTTCCTTCAAGCCTCTCCTTTCTAACCCCCCAGCCCTAGGTAGGAGAGGGAAGGTTAGTGGGGAGAAGGCTCAAAGACCCCGTCACTTCTCCCAGCTATTTAGGGTCGATGGGTTCTTAGGGGCTATACCAATCTCTGTCAACAGCAAATGCAGCAAGCAGCCTCCTCTGTCCAAGCCGCTGCACCAGGAAACATCTCTCCCGTGTCTCTCTGAACCACCACACCGTCCATCTCTGGTTTCTCCAAACTGCCGCACGCCACACCTCCTCTCTCTCTCTCTCTGGGCTCCTATGTTTATATGTCCCTCAAAGCCCTAGACCACACCCCTCTCCCTGCTGCACGAGGCAGGCCCTTACCAGCTGGCAAAGACCATGCCCTGCAGGAGTCAGTTATCAGCTGTGGACAAACTATAGCCCAAACTAAAATCCCACACTTGGGATTAAAACAAAAGCATATTTACACAACATAACTGAGCTTTTAAAGAAACCAAAACTTCCCTTACACTTCCCCGACACCTCATCTCTGCCCTCCTCCTTCCAGGGCCTGCCCAGGTGCCCTGCCTGGGACCCTCCTCAACCACAGTAAATGGCTGGAGGGCGGTGGCTGCTTGGGGTCCAGCCCTGAGAGTGCCCACAAAGGCTGTAGCAAACCAGGCCCTCAGAAGTCCCTGGCACTGATCCTTTCATCCCTCCCCTCAGCTGTGGTGGCAGTACCCTCTCAACCCAGGCATGTGCCTGTCACGTGCCACAGCTTCTGTGGTGCTGACAACCCTCTGAGGGAAAGACAGACAGGGTGTTTCAGGCCACAGGAACTGCTGTGAGGTCAGGTAAAGCAGACAGGGATGAAGGGCCATTTCCTAGCCGGCTCTGGGGGGACCTGTCTGTGAAGGACCTGAGGCAAACTAGAGTAGCGTTCTGTAGGCCCTGAAGACCTAAGGGCAGCGGGTGGGGGGACCAGCGCTGAAACTGCCCTGCCACCTCGTCTCGTCTCCACATCTGTCTGATGGAGCTCCTGCTTGGAGGGCTGCTGCAAAGATTAGGCACAGTCAGCTCCAAGTGTTCTCTGTTCTCACTGCACTGTTGCTGAGATGCCTGGGAAATGTGTTCTAAGCAGAAGGAACGACAAACGCAAAGGTCCTGGGTCGAAGTGAAAGCGAGCTTGTCATGTGAGGGGCCATAGAAGCTCATGGTATGGGTGTGAAGGTGAGAAGGGCTAAGGCAGGTCTTCACTTGCTGTGATAAACACTGACCAAAGGCCACTTGGAGACAGAAGGACTTATTTCAGATTACGGCTGATAGGCCATCGCTGAGAGGAAACAGGAAGTCAGGGTAGGAGCTTGGAGGCAGGACCTGAAGCAAAGACCGCGCTTTACTGCCTTGCTCCCTGTGGCTTGCTCAGCCTTTCTTATACCACCCAGGCCTACCTGCCCCAGGGCAGCACCACCCACACTGGGCTGGGTGCTCCCACACCAGTCATTAATCAAGAAGATGTCCTCCAGTGCCAGGCACGGTGGCACACACCTTCAGTGCCAGCACTCAGTGTAGGGAGTGGGGCAGAGGCAGGTGGATCTCTGTGAGTTTGAGACCAGCCTGGTCTACAGAGTGAGTTACAGGATAGCCAGAGCTACACAGAGAAACCCTGTTTCAAAAAAAAAAAAAAAAAAAACACCCCACCCCCCCAAAAAAAATAGGGAAGAAAGAAAGAAAGTGTCCCACAGAAAAGTGTCACCACAGGCCAATCTGATGGTGACATTTTTCTCACTTGAGCCTCCATATTCCAAATAACTCTTTATCTTGTGCCACTTTCACACACACACATACACACACACAAAACAACAAACAAACAAAAACAAACAAACAAAAAAAAACAAAGAAAAAACAGGATAAGAAGGCTCAGGACTTTGGGAAGCAAGTTTTCTGGAAGTTTTCAGAAAGAAGTTTTCTGGAGTGGGTGAAGGTCCCTTTGAGAAGTTTCAGCTCCCCAGGCAGATTTCACCCAGGTAACAGCATTCTAGGGTGTGAGGCTTTTGCCAAGGTCCACCCCATCATCACCCATAGGCTGTGGTGATGGAGAAGACCTATGGGCAAGATAAAGAGAAGGGCAGATGGAAGTCCCCAAGGAGGTGTTTCCTAAGGGGTCCTCTCACTGGGACAACCTCCCACCATTTGCTCTTTCTCCTCCTTCCTTCCTTCCTCCCTTCCTTCCTCCCTCCCTCCCTCCCTCCCTCCCTCTCTCCCTCCCTCCCTCCCTCCCTCCCTCCCTCCCTCCCTTCCTTCCTTCCTTCCTTCCTTCCTTCTTTCTTCTTTCTTTTTCTTTTTTTTTTCACGACAGGGTTTCTCTGTGTGGCCTTGGCTGTCCTGGACTTTGTAGACCAGGCTGGCCTTGAACTCACAGAGATCCGCCTTCCTCTACCTCCCCAAGTGCTGGGATTATAGGCCCGTGCCACCATGTCCAGCACCCTTTGCTCTTTCTGAGACCTGAATCTCCCTGCAGGTTTAGCTGGGCTTTGTGTGTGTATGTGTGTGTGTAGTTAGAGCTACTTACAGGAGCATAGGTGAGAAGTTATTTACAGGAGTGTAAGCATTTGCCAATGGCTGTGCCACTGAAGAAAATGTCTCACTGTCCCCAACAGCCATTGATTAGTTATAGATCCTTGGGAGGGCGGGGCTTACACAGCCCCTCTTCAGGACAGGTAATTACAGTGCTACCGAGTTCAAATCAGATAGGCTTTCTTCCTTTCTTTAAGTTACACATGTATCTGTGTCTGGTGGTGGTGGGGAGGGGTATGTACAAGTGCAAAACCTGAGGAGGGGAGAGGGAGGGGGGTGTGATTTCCTGGAGCTGGAGTTACCTGTGCTTGTGGGCCACCCAGTATGGGTGCTAGGAACTGAGCTCAGACCCTCTGAAAGAACAAGTACTCAGAAGTGCTCCAGCCTTCTGAAGTGCCCTGACACACACACACGCACACGCACACGAATGCACACGCACGCACACGGCTTCCTGCTGCACACCATCCTCCAGGCTCAGCACTGCTTTGAGGGAAGGCTGCCTCCTGGCCTCCAGTGCTGTGAGCTGAGGCTCGCCTCTGCTGCCTCCAGTGAGTGTGGTGCTGGGTCCCCCACATCACAGAGTTTATATTTTCTAAATTTGCGTATGATTCTTGGGGGAGACCTGCAAGGCTCCGGGCCTGCCTCGTGTGGGTGTTTGTCTCTGCTGCCGGCATGAACTCCAGGCGTTCACACCTCACAATTGCAATTCCTTACAGATATAAACTGCCAGCTTTCAGGCTCCTCCAACTCCAAGCCAGGCACCTTGTTGAAAACCAGCTCCTCACCAGAGAGATCGCTCTTCTTGAAATGTGAGACCGGGAGTCGGGGAGTGGGAGAGGGGGGTTGGGTGGGAACAACGGTGGAGGAGGGGCAGGAAATGAGCCCCACAACTTCCTGTTAAGAGACTGTTTCCAAACAAGGTCTTTAGCCCAAATGTTTGCTGGGTGTAGCTCCTGGCAGTGTCTAACCCCAGTGCTTGGGGGCTCAGCCAGGAAGATCTCAAGTTCCAGGCTGGCCTTGGCTATACAGTATGACCTTGTCTCAAAACCAAACCAAACCAAACCAAACCAAACCAAACCAAACAAACAAGCACTTAAAATTGTTATTAGGCTTTTAAAAATGCACATATTGAGCTAGGCAGTGGTGGCACATGCTTTTCATCCCAGCACTTGGGAGACAGAGGCTGTCAGATCTTGAGTTCTGAGTTTGAGGCCAGCCTGGTGTACAGAGCGAGTTCCAGGACAGCTAAGGCTACACAGAAAAACCCTGTCTTGAAAAACCAATATATATATTAACTGTAGAAAACAAAAGAAAATTATTCATAATTGTTTCTTTCCCAAAAGAAAGCTTTTGTTTTGTTCTTGAGACAGAGCCTCCTGTAGCTCAGGCTGGCCTTGAACTCCTGATCCTCCTGCTGGGACCACTGATGGGTTCTGCCATGCCCAACTTATTACTATATACAGCATGGTGTCATGCTGTACATGCTGTTGTATAATCTGTTCTCGTTTACTGGGGAATTGTGAATCACCTCTTATCTGTTTCCCTAAACATTTACAGAAGCAGAGGGTGGGGGCTTTCAGTGATGGATGGCTTGCCTGGCATGTGTGAGGCATGCCTGAGCTTAATCCCCAGTCTCACAAGAGAGCTAGAGAGGGCTGGAGAGATGGCTCAAAGGTTAAGCCCAGTGGCGGTTCTTCCAGAGGTCCTGCATTCAGTTCCCAACAACCACATGGTGGCTCACAACCATCTATAATGAGATCTGGTGCCCTCTTCTGGTGTGCAGGCACACATGCAGGCAGAACACTATAAATAATAAATCTTTTAAAAAAGAGTTAGAGAGAAGGAGGAAAGAAAAAGAGAGGAAGACAACAAAATTATATATGTAGTGTATTAATTGTGAAGAAAATCAGAAATTACAAACAAAAAGAAAGCAGCTATCTTACCCAGAGATAACTGCAGTCAGCATTTCCACAGATTTCTTTCTCAGACATTTAAAAGATACTGTGTTACAGGCAGTGGTAGTGCATGTCTTTAATTCCAGAACTCGGGAGGCAGAGGCAGGCTGATCTCTGAGTTCAAGGCCAACCTGGTCTACACAGTGAGTTTAAGGACACAGAGGGACCTTAAAACAAAAAAACAAAACAAAAAAAACTGTCAAGGTATTTTAAGGTAGCACCAAGTCATAATCTTTTGTAACTTTATGTAACAGTATAACAGTGGTGCTCCATTTCAATAGCCATTTTAAAGGCCACCCAGTATCACATCAAACAGACATTTATTTTCATCATGAAAAGCAGCTTTTTTCTCATCACCTCCAAATGCTCACAACAACCCTATTTAAAGTTGCAGCTACATTCTACTTCTCTTTATTCTTCATTATTCTCTTTTTTTCAATTCTGTTTCTTTTGGAGACAGGATATTACTCTGTAGCCCAAGTGAGTGTCAGACTTCCATCAGGTAGGCCCAGCTCTAACCCACCAGCACTGTTCAACTTGTTAAGTTAGTGAACGGGTGGATAAGTATGCATTATTTTCTGCATAACTTCAGGAGTGATTTCTCAAAATAGGATCACTGAGCACACATTTAAAAAAAAAAACACGTTTGAAAAATAAAGTGCATTCAAAGAGAAGTACACAAAACGAAGGGGAGGGTGCAGCCGAACAACTCCTGTAAAAGTAAACACTCCTTCAGAACAAAAATGGAAATTTCTAGAAGCCTTCTTCCGGCTCCCACATTTACCACGCCCAAAGGACAGCAACTGTTTCCATTTCTAATTCTTTGGCCTAGAAAAACCGCTCGCCTCAGAGACTGAAGAGATTGGCTGAGAGCGGTTGCTGCTTTGGTACACCTCACGGGGGTCTACGTTCTCGGAGGCTCACAGCTTGCTGTTAACTCCAGTTGCGTGGAGTCTGGCGCCCTCTTCTGGCCGCTGCCGGTGCTGCACGTTACAGTGAGATGCACATTAAAAAACGTATTTCATGCCCATAAAATAAACACACACACTGGGGCTGCAGAGAGGGCTCAGCGGTTAAGAGCCCTGGCTGTTCTTAAGGAGGTCCTGAGTCCAATTTCCAGCAACCACATGGTGGCTCACAACCATCTATAATAAGATCCGGTGCCCTCTTCTGGCGTGCAGGCAGAACATTGTGTACATAATAAATAAATCCTAATTAGAGCACACACACACACACACACACACACACACACACTCGCACACACACTCGCACGCACGCACACACACCAGAATAATCACCGAAATAAGTTTGATATGGTTCAAGTGTGGTTCATGAATATGCCATTAAGTTTAAAGCGGATTGCCTAAGCGCAGGTATGCTACGATACCAATACCACAACCAAGCACAGTCCCCAAAGTTAAGGGGTGAAAGGGTCGAAGGACAGGCAAGCGAGTTCTAGTAGTTATAAACTTGCTATCTTTCTGGTTTTGAGACTGGGTCTCTTGACGTAGCCCTGCTGTCTGGAACACAGCCAGGTAGACCTCGCTTGGTTGGTCTTGAACCCACCGAACCGCTGCGAGGGGTGGGATTGAAGTTGGGCTCCACCTTCCTCGCCAGTAGGAGGACATCTTTTTTTTTTTTTTTTTTTTTTTTTTTTAATTAGCGGTAAATTCCACGATCCAAATTCAAGCCCTACAGAGCGTGTAAGGAACCTCCACCACGCCCAATAGCTTTGGTGCCGGCCAACGGTAGTGGGCGTGGCTCCTTAGACCCGCCCACGGGCGCGACCGCCGTCTCCCGCCCCTCTACGCAGACGCACTCTCGTTCGGGGGCGGGGCCCCATATGGCCCCGCCCATGCCTCCTGACCGCCTTCTCTCCCCCCTCTTCCGCAGACGCGCGCACGCCGACGCTGGACCCCGACACGATGCACGCGCGCCTGCGCCTGTCGACGGACGGCCTGACGGTCCGCTGCTCGCTGCTGGGCCGCTTGGGGCCGCGTCCCGCGCCGCGGTTCGACGCGCTGCGTCAGGTGCTGGGCCGCGACGGCTTCGCAGCGGGACGCCACTACTGGGAGGTGGACGTGCAGGAGGCCGGCGTGGGCTGGTGGGTGGGCGCGGCCTACCCGTCTCTGCGGCGCCTCGGGGCCTCCGCCGCCGCCCGCCTGGGCTGCAACCGCGAGTCGTGGTGCGTGAAGCGCTACGACCTCGAGTACTGGGCCTTCCACGACTGCCAGCGAAGCCGCCTGCGCCTCCGCCGCGACCCCCACCGGCTCGGCGTCTTCCTGGACTACGAGGCCGGCGTTCTGGCATTCTACGACGTGGCAGGTGGCATGAGCCACTTGCACACCTTCCACGCCGCCTTCCAGGAGCCGCTCTACCCGGCCCTGCGCCTCTGGGAGGGAGCCATCAGCATCCCCCGGTTGCCCTAGGCGAGCGGGCTTCCTTTCCTAGGCTAGTCTCCAGTCAGTCGACGTCCACGTACCCGGCTCTGCCTTTAGGGAGCAGGTTCCTGGAAGGGGCGCCCCGCTGCCTGTGTCTGGTACACCATCTTGCAGCGCCTAGAAACTCCTGGCACACAGTAGGCACACAGTAAGTATCAGTGAAAGTCTCCCGGCAGGGACACTTATCTCCATAAACCCCCGCCCTCACCCGTTTGGGCCAACTGCTCCCCAGCCACTTCAGCTTGTCCAGGTCACCTCTACCCAGAGGGTTTCTTTTGCATCTTCTACAAACCAGGGTGAGCATCCCGAAGCTTAGCTCGGCCCCTTGAGATTAGAAGGGGGTTCTCAGAGAACTACAGACACAGAGCAGGAAGCACTTCTTAGCTTTTCTAGCACTTTGCCCAGCCTTTCGAGCCTGCCCCTGGGCTGCTTCCTCTCATCCAAATCCTGTCAGTCTTTTCAGACACGCGCCATCAGAAGCTGGTTCACAGTTGCACCTTTGAATCCTTGTGCATCCCACCATAAATAGGAAAACCGTCTCTCCGCCTGTCTGAGTTCTCAGGCCTCTCTGCCCCACAAAGTGCCTTTCCACCCCTCGCCCTGGAAAAACGAAACTGTCGGGCCTGTAAACCTAGGACCTGTCGTTCCAGCTGCTTTCTAAGAACATATGTGTCCTTTCCTCCCCAAAATGATTCAGAAACGACCCTCGCAGGCAATGACTGAGTGACTCACGGAGGAAAAACTCCTGAGAATGACAGGACAGACCTCACAGGGGAGCTACAGCCTTGATACCACAGCTCCTTTAGTCACAAAAGACCCCAGAGTTTTTCCCACACTCACCACTGCAGGGCCAAGCCTGGCATCTCTTAACTGTATCAGGGCCTTGTCACACGTAGTCACGCTACACACAGTTGACCCTTACTGCCCTCAGTCACACTACACACAGTTGACCCTTTCTGCCCGCAAGGGTGGGAATGAATCCCCTTGTACACAGGGCAGAACTGTACACTTGAGTCAGCTGACTGCCCAGGATAATGGAACCAGTGTTAGGTCAGCGTCTGTGCTGCCCCTCGTGCTGTGCTGTGGACGTGGCGCCTCTTCTGCTTCAGTTTTAATTGCCTCTGGATTGCCCTCTTTGGTCTCTGAAGCGAGGTTTCAGACCCGTCGGGGTGGGGGTGGGATTGCTTTTTGAGAGGCTGTGATTTGAGTATAAAATAAAAAGACTAGTTCTGGGCCAAGGTTTGTGCTGGTGCTGGCTGGAAGACTAGTTTCCGATCAGTTGTGTGGCCTCAGGCAGCATACCTTCTACCTATGGTCCCACCTGAAACGTGGGTGAGTGTCAGCGGCTTCAAATGAGCCAAAGCTAATGAAATTGCCTTTAAAACTATAATGTTGCATCAGGCTGAGATTTGTTAGCATCTCCAGTAGATTCTTCCCACCTTGTCACAGTGCTGAACCACATACCCAGCAGCAGGGTGGCAGCCAAGGGAGCTGCCTTAATATTCTCAGGCAGTTTCCTTGGGATCCATGTTTTTGAAGGTAGAAAGATATGGTTTTTGGTTTGGGTCTTTTGAGACTGGGTTTCTCTGAGCAACAAGCCTTAGATGTCCTCCCAGGCTGGCCTCCAACTCAGAGATCACCTGCCTCTGCCTGAGTGCTAGGATTAAAGGGATGTGCCACCATGCCTAGCCTCAAAGTATATGTCTTAATGCTCTTGGTTTTGTAGAATTAGACAAGTTATTTTCCCTGTGGTGTTTGGTCTAGAACCAGTGGCCTTGCAGATAAGCAAGTGCTCCCTCAAGCTATATTCCAACCCCAGCAGGTCTAAGAAAAAGTCAAGGCCAGTTCTGAGGGAAATGGAGAGGACAGACACGTCTGTCTCATATCCAGCCTCAAGGGCGAGGGGTTGTGGGCCATCTAAGATTCCTGTGAGACTGGGAAGGGTCTGGCTCTTGACCTTGTGGGGCCAGGTACTTTCTGGGCACTGTCTCACATAGAAGCTTCATTATCACCTCCTTCGGGCACACGGTTTTCAGTCCATGATTGGCTAGTAACAGCCATATTTTTAAATGACAAGAGTTTTCTAATATATGCTTTGTTTAATAAAATTGGAATACTCTCCCTTGTAACCATGTTCTTCATTGGGAGTCAAGTGCATAGCATTCACGCCTGGAGAAGACCTTGTTCACCTGACATCTCCTTCAGCTGGTCCTAAATTGAACACCTCTAGTGATGGGGAACTCCCCGCTCATGAAGATAACCAAGTTCTTTTTAACAGTCATTTTCCTGGGCAGGAGACCCTAGGTATTATGGTACACGGGGATGTCAGAAGATAACTGGTGGAAGTCAGTTTCCTTCCACCATGTGGGTTCTGGGGACTGAACTCCGGTTGTGAGGATGGTGACAGCCATCTACCCGCTGGGCCATTTCAGCGACCTCTGGATTCTTCTGTGGAAGCAACCCAACTCCCAGTTGACTCCAGCCACAAAAGTACTGTGAAGCATGTTGGCAGTGGAAGCCGCCTGTAGTCTCCAGCTTCTGGAGAAGTCGGGGGCTCTCTTCTGCTTTCTCAGCGACACTCTGTGGTAACCCCATACAGGTGGTTCTAGTGGATAGAAGCACTTGGTATTCTGAGAGACAGACAGCACGGTGGTTACGACAGGGAGTGATTGTGACTGGAGGGCCCAGGTCAGATCCTATCATGTTCTGTTCAGAAATCGAGGGAGGGTCGGAGAGGGAAGGCTTGTGACGTGGCTTAGCAGGTCAAGGGGCTTGCCACCAAGTCTGGTAACCTGACTTCAACCCCCAGGGCCCACATGGTGGAAGGATAGAACCAACTCCTGAAAGTTGTCCTCTGACTTCTGCAGAGTGCACATCCACCCATACATACACACATACAAAATGTAGAGGCTGGTAAGACAGCTCAGTGGTTAGAGTGTTGGCTATTCTTGCAGAGGATCCAAGCTCAGTTTCCAGCAACTGCATGGTAGATCACAACTGCACCTCCAGTTCCGAAAGATCGAACACTCAGGGTTCCTCTGGCTTCTGTAGGCACCAAAACACATGCGGTGCACAAACATACAGGCAAAACAAACGTGCACATAAATGTTAAAAAAAAAAAAAAAAAAAAAAAAAAAAAAAACAGAGTCCCTGCTTCACTACTCTCCAAAGAACTTGTAAGGCTCTGAGACCCTCCCCACTCCTACCAAACTGTCACTTGCCAGCTTCTGGACTTTTCCCTAGCCTGCACACAGTTCATCCCTCAGCTACTTACTGCTCAATCTACAAGGCTAAACTGGCTTTCCCAGTCAGTGTCTTCCACCCCCTTTACAGTCCTGTCTGTGAAGGGTTCCTGTGCCCAGGTGCTTAGCCATGTCTTCCAGAGCTGAGTTTTCCAACTGAGAGTGGGCTAGGAATGTGCCCAGACACCAATCCAGCTATAACCCGTAACACCTTCACTCCCACCACCCCAGAGGTTATTCTAGGTTCCAAGAGAGGGAAGTCCTGATTTACAGATAACCTCACAGCAAACTATGCACTGAAGAGACCTGAATATACACTTTCAAATAGGAGTGATACAGTAAATAAGGTTAGATTGGTCCTGGAGCTGACGGGTCACTGAGATTAAGGGATCAAACTGCTCTTGCAGAAGACCCAAGTTCGGGACCCAGCACTCATACCAGGCAGCTCACAACTGCTTATAACTCCAGCTCCTGGGGATCCAAAACCCCTGGCCTCTGTGGGTGCACACACACACACACATTAAAAGAAAAAAAAAATTAGGGTCAAATAAATGTGAACACAAATACTAAGACCTTGAAAGTGAGTTGGAGAGACAGCTCAAGAGATTAGATGCTCTTTCAGAGGACCCAGGTTCAATCCCCAGCACCCATATGGCAGCTCACAGCTGTCCAACTCTAGTTCCAGAAGATCTGAGACAGATAGCAAGCAAAACACCAACCCACAAAATTTATATATATGTATATGTACATGCAGCGGTGGCATGATCCCAGTGGCTGGCTTTAATCCCAGCACTCGGGAGGCAGAGGCAGGAGGATTTCTGAATTTGAAGCCAGCCAGGGATAAAATGAGATCCTGTCTCAAGAGAAAAAAAAAAAGGTTTTTTTAACTAAATTGAAAACAAGAAGATACTTTAAAAGAACAAAATGATTAATCTCAAAGAACAAAGTGAAATGTGACAATGAACCTCTCTAAAACCTCCATGCAGCTTTAAGAAGTGAAACAATGGGAATCTTTGTCTGGGTTTGTAATCTGTCAGCCATGACAAGACACTCCGGTGATTATGGCAGGGCTGATTCCCCTCACACTGAAGATACCCAAGCGCCATGCCTCCCACTGCCACCCCTCATACATCCGTGTTCTTCCCACTGTACATTCACCTAACAGTTGTCTTGTTGATGCTGTACTGTGGGTTAGTGTGTACCTGCTGTCTGAGGAAAAGGCCTGAGAAAGGGGCTGGCTGCTTAAGACATGTCCCTAGGCCTCTACCAGTGACTGACACCGTGGGTCCTGAGCATCTGCCAAAGGGGGGATCGACTGCTCTCTCCCCACCTTTGCTCAGAGACAGAAGTGCTTGGCTGTACCCACAGGGCCTCAGGCAGAGTCTAATGAGAAGTGACCACTCTTCAGTGCTCTGGGTGGAACTCAGGGCAGAAGGAGAAGGAGAGGAGAAAAAAACAGCTGTCAGGAATCAAGAGCTCAGGTCCTGGAAGTTGCTTTATAGAATGGAAACGTGAAGACTCAGGATGGCAACAGAGTCACACTGAAACCCTAAAGGAGCTGTATCACTCTGGGCCACAGCCTCTGGCTAGTTACTTCAGAGTGGCCTCATTGGCTCCTCCTTTCCAGTGGGCTGGACACAGGTGGCCACTGTGACCGGTGGCCTTGAGATTGATATTTTTGCCCCCCCACCCCCACCAACATACGGGACAGTAGTAGCAGGATGACTGAGTAGCCAGGGAGTGGCACTTTATTTTAAGACTTGATTTTCTTGCTGTGATTTTCCACAGATTCTTCCATGATCGTGTCATCTTCCTCAACAGTGACCAGCACCTTTTTGCCCACTAGGTTGAAAATGTCTTCAGGTGGATAGCCTTTGGGCTCCCCCACCTTCACAGTGAGCATGTCCAGTGTCAGGATGGTGCCTTCTGGGATTTTCACTTTGGCCACCACAGACTTGCCCAGCTGTGGACAAAGGAAGGTCAGTGTCAGATCACAGAATGCTTGAAATCCCTGTAACACAGGCCACACACAGAACTTTACTCTCAACACAGTTCCCAGAGCAGCAACTCACAGAAGAAAAGACCCAGCCAGTGTCAGGTGACATCATAAACTAAAAGGAGAGGCCTTTCCAGTAATACAGCACAAGGGAAAGAAAGGCCTCAGGCTGTGTACCCAGATAGATCCAGGTTCAGTACCCATTGGCTTAGGATGGTGTGTTCTGGTTTCCCTGTTAAAAGGTGCTGGCACCCATTTTGGGTGTGGCACAGGCCTTTAATCCCAGCACTTGGGAGGCAGAGGCAGGCAGATCTCTGTGAGTTTGAGGCCAGCCTGGTCTACAGAGTGAGTTCCAGTACAGCCAAGGCTACACAGAGAAACCTGTCTCGGAAAAAGGAAAAAAAAAAAAAAAAAAGTGCTGGCAACTTGTCAGAATATTACCAGAATGTGATAAAGTGCTCACAACATATGACAACTGTGATTACTCTTGTCACTGTCTAGTCAGCACCTTACGGGAAACTTAGGTCAAAAGAAGTCAAGCACCTTGGTCAAGCTGCCAATAACCAAGATGAGAACCTGAAAGAAGAGACCCCCAAGCCCGTATTCAACCCGGCTGCCACTTCGTTCTATAGAATAGGGTTATGGGGGGCTCGTGAGTAATGAGGGTGATGTATTCAAATGACAAGGCGTACCCAGGAAGAGGACAGACAGGTGTGGAGATCAAGGGCTGTCTAAAGCTCACAACCAGCGTCTCTACCTTCCCATAAACACTTAGAAGCAGCATTTGCTGTCCTCCACAGCTTACATGAGTTCTAATTCTGCTTGGAACTTAGCACCAGGAAAAAGCTTGTGGTCCTTGCTGTGTCTCACCTCTGCTTGGAGTACACACCAGTGGCCCACACAACTCTCCCACTTCATTTGCAAGGCAATTACATTCTTTTACTGCTAACCTCCCTGTACCTGTGCCCCTATAACTTAGGGGGCAGTCGGTAGCCTCCCTGGAATAAGAGGACAGTGGTCTTCATCTATACCTAGTGTCTGGCCTTTGGCCTAACCCAAACCACAGGTGAGGAATCTTGCACCCAATACTCCTGCGGATCCTGGTTCTAAACTCAGAAGGGCAGAAAGGTTCAGGCCACAGCTTCCAAGACACCAGGAGGCATGCCTCAGCCTCACCACCCTGTCTGTCCTCTGTATCACTACCCACCAGCCCTGCCCACCTACCCAGTACACCTCCTTGTGCTTCCCAATGCCTCCGTGTGCCTACTCCAAGTGACCCAGGCTTGACCATCTGAGGACTTCACTCTGTCTCCAGGGGCCACAGCCCTGGAGCTACTGGCTTCAGAGACTTAGCGGAAATGCTAATGTGACCAGAGGTGGCTGAAAAGCCTGAATTCCTCTTGTGTAACGCATCTCCCTGTGGCTCCCATAACCTGATGACCCTCAGAAGGTATGACATTCCGTCACCAGCTCATCCGTCAGGCTCGGACAGGCCACACTGAGCCCAGCTCTTAGCAAGTGCACTGCCCCTGCCTCAGGACAGCAAGGCTAGCACCTACCTTCTCATTGCAGGCCATCTCACAGGGCAGCAGCTGCTTGACGGGGGAGCCCAATGCCCGCTCCACCAGGCGCACAGACCGCACCAGCTCTGCCAGTTCTCCAGGCTCCAGCGAGGCTAAGTGGTCACTCCCTTTCCAGGTCTTATCCAAAGTTATGTGACGCTCCAACACCTTGGCCCCCAGAGCCACTGCAGCCACAGATATGGCGATGCCTGTCTCATGCCCAGAATACCCTATGGGAATGTCAGGAAAGAGCTTCTGGTATTCCTGTAAAAGAAAAGGGGAATGGCTACCCTTCTGGGGCTTCACACACGTTCTCCAAGTCAGGGAAA